CACCACATAAGCAAAAAGAAAAGAAAAAAGCTGTAAGTGGCGCTGTGGCTCAAGTGGTAGAGTGCTAGCCTTGAGCTGAAGAGCTGAGGGACAGCGCCCAGGCCAGAGTTCAGGCCCCACGACCGGACCCAAAAAAAAAAAATGGATGTTGAGCCCTAGTGGCTCATGCTTGTATCCTAGCTACTCAGGAGGCGGAGGGACCTGAGGATCATGGTTCAAAGCCATCTAGAGCAGGAAAATCCAAGAGACTTTTTTTTTTTTTGTCTGTTGTGGAGCTTGAACTCTAGGCTTGGGAGCTGTCCCTCAGCTCTTCAGCTCAAGGCTAACACTCTACCACCTGAGCCATAGCACCACTTACGGTTTTCTGAGTGGTCTATTGGAGATAAGAGTCTCACGGACTTTCATGCCCAGGCTGGCTTTGAACTGCGATCCTCAGATCTCATCGTCCTGAGTAGCTAGGATTACAGGCATGAGCCACTGACTCCCGGCTACCTAGAGACTCTTTTTTTTGTTTTTTTTGGGTCCGGTCGTGGGGCCTGAACTCTTGGCCTGAGCACTGTCCCTCAGCTCTTCAGCTCAAGGCTAGTGCTCTACCACTTGAGCCACAGAGCCACTTCTGGCTTTTTTCTTTTTGCTTATGTGGTGCTGAGGAATTGAACCCAGGGCCTCATGCATGCAAGGCAAGTGCTCTACCACTGAGCCAACTTCCCAGCCCCTACCTAGAGACTCTTATCTCCAGTTAAACACCAAAAAATTGGAAGTGGAACTATGGCTCAAAAGTGTTAGAGTGCTAGTCTTGAACAAAAACCAGCTCAGGAAAAAAAGCCAAAATTAATATGGTTACAGCATGAAGATAAAAGGTAGAAAAGGCTTTCACATTTTCTTATGCACTTCCACTGTAGTTGCGAGTATGTTTTCTATTTTCCTTTTGCAATAAAAAAACAAATGTAAGCATGATGACAATGTTTCTTGTCTGCCCTCTTCCTTAGACTTAGATGGGTTAACATGTGAAGACCAGCAGCAGGTGGCATTAAGTCAGGACTGAAACCTTGGATTTACAGAGCAGCACTAACCACAATGTGTAGTTGGAGGAAGATGATACAGAAAAAAAGAAAAAGGAGTTGAAGAAGATGATAAAGGAGGAAGAGAAGGAAGGGGAAGGAGAAGGAAAAAAGTGAATGTGTGCATGTGTGTGTGTGTGTGTGTATGTGTGTGTGTGTGTATGTTGGGGAGGGGCGCATTACTACAAAGGAACCAGAAGATGACTAGTGGTAATTTAAAGAATTAAACCAGTGTGGTAAGACTTCCCTTAAAAGTGCTTTAGGATTTTCTTGTAGAGCTACCAGTGGGAGATCCCACAAA